ACAGACACGCACACACAGGCAGATACACACACACACTCACAGACACGCACACACAGGCAGATACGCACACACACTCACAGACACGCACACACAGGCAGATACACACACACACACACAGACACGCACACACAGGCAGATACACACACACACTCACAGACACGCACACACAGGCAGATACACACACACACTCACAGTCACGCACACACAGATACACACACACACTGACAGACACGCACACACAGATACACACACACACTGACAGACACACACACTCAGATACACACACTCACAGACACACACACTCAGATACACACATATGGGGGCACAAAGGGGGACACCTGCTATCAATACATCAACGTGGCCAAGAAGGCTTTTGCCATAAGGGAACAGGTCTCAGGGGCCACACTCGGGGCCACACTCGGGGGCCACACGCAGGGGTTCCGCTCTCAGGTCACACTCGAGAACATGACTAGGGGCTGCATTACGGGCCTTTCAGTACACATTAAGCAGCAAACAATCAAAGAAAACAATCGATACTGGCAGCCATGATAATCGTGCTTATTGCCTCACTCTGGGTAGAAATGTATGCTAAATAAATCCAAAGTAAATGTGTTTCCTATGCTTAGATAAAGGGGCCAGACCATAACAAAAAAGCATCTATCAAAGGAAAAGACTATCCTGCTTGCCTCAAATAAGTCTATTATCGTCTCTCATTTTTTTCCTGCCTTCCCGTTTTCCCTGTATCATGCACCATTTTATATATATGATATAGTAATGGATTGCCGCACATTCTTGTCAAAAGCCTTGGAGTGTGTTGTAGATGGAACTATATTAAAAAACACTTTTGAAAACCTAAATTGTTGACATCTGAGGAACAAGGCAGCAGCAGGGAGCCTGTGTCACGTATCCGGGCGGCTCGGGTGCGAGAACGTGGCATAGTGCACACAGACAAAGGCGGACGACCCACTCGCGGCTCAGAGACAGATGGGGATTTATTTAAACAAAACAGAAAACACGAGAAACGACTAACCAAAAACAAAGGACCACGAGGGCTCAAAAACTGAAGGGGATAAACAATACTAAATAACAAAAACCGAATACACGGTGAAGACTGAAAATATCTAATCCATCAAACATCCATGAAGAAACAACAACAACACACAAACACAATGAACCACTGGGGAACAGAACAGAAGCAGGAACTAAAATACTAAGGGGTAACGAGACTAACACAGGACAGGTGAGGCTAATTAACAAAGACCAGGGAAACAGGGCACAGGTGAAACTAATAACTCAAAGGAACCAAAAACAGGGAAACTAAGAACTAACCAAGGAATAAGGAACCAACATTGGGGAATTACAGACAGGTAAAGACAAGCAGGGGCACAAGGAACAAAACCAAAAACCATATACAAAATCACCAGATACAATAACTAGACAAACTCAACTGAAACACTAGGGAGCAAAATACAAACACAGGACAGAAGGTACAAAGACAACCGGACGCTCAAGGTGTTGAGCCATGAGGCCAACAGAACAGGGGAAACTCAAAGACAAACATGAAGGACGGGATGACCAGCAATGCCTGCTGGCCAAACGGGGAAGGGACACAGAGTGACAACAGGGGCTGACCCTGACAGCCTGAGTTCAGGGATACCGGTGCGGGGGCCGACATTCACCTTCCAGGTGGGTTTGGACTCCAGTCTGTCCAGGGAGTCTCCCTCCATCTTGTCCTTCCTCTGCCTGACGGCCGCGAGCTACGGAGAGACCGTAAAGGCAGGATCAGCAGGAGGTTCTTCATGTGGCCTGGGTTTGTGTGAGCGCCATGGCACTGCGTTTGGGTTTCGAGCAGCATCACAGGATGATCACTCGACCTGAGCGTGAGAGCAGAAGCGTCTGGGAGAGATTCACACGCAGACACACGTGGTCAGACGAGGCCGACACACACCATGAATGAGCCAAGCTGAAGATTCTCTCAAATTTCCCAGTGATCGTTTAACCGGGCGCTTGTTTTTAACTGGCTCTGTGATGGGATGCGAGTAGCGGATGTTGTGGATGATTTTTGTCATTTACATATTTTGCACAGCGCTTTATTTACTTAGCTGACGCTCAAATCCAGAGTGATGCATATGGAAATAACGTTCATCGGCAGCAACAACTGGCAACCGCAATACTGACGTTCAATTTGATTAAAAACCAAAGTGACATTAAAACTGTAGAGACCTGCTTCAGCTTGCATTCATTTTGGAGGTTGAGGTGCTAATTGAGTGCGCTTTTTAATCTATGATCCAGGGATATCGTATTACTGCAATACTGTGGTTTTTTAAATGCACCACAACTGAAGAGACCAGGACAGCTGTATTCCTCTTACTCAGTTCTACTCCTCTTCCCCCTACTCCTCATAAATGGTACAGCCCGCTGTCTCCTACCCAGGCTGTATCAAACTCCAGGTCCTAGAACCGTCCAATTTCCTCCCATGCCCACTTCACTAACAGTCTATTCCTGACCTCTGAGTCATCTTACCTATGTTTGCATCTCAGTACCATCATACGTAAGTGATGCCATATGAATAACTAAATAATAAAAATGCATCACTTCTGGGGTCCTGACATTTCACCGGAAAGGGCTTTAGTCAGGCCCAGGGGATGGTCTCCGTTGCTGGAGTTGGAGGTAGGATGTGTTATGTGTAACGTGGATGTATGAAGTATCTTCACCCATAGGTGGTTAAAGAGCTGCCCGTCCAAAAAAAAAAGGAGGTCAAAAAGAGGGAAGAGGCGGCTGCGGAAGACAGGCTGGCTGTCACATGCATGCAAAATCAAGGCGATAGGAAATTTTTAGTTTCATATTTATTTTGCTGATGCAGAACCACAGGCCAACTCCTTGGAACCGGACACCTCGTCCATAAAATAGTCCATAAAAGTCACGTTTCTCTGAAAATGCCTCTGTCTCTCCCTCGCTCGGGGTGTGTTCTTACCGACCAGAGTCTGAAAATAAACAGATTGTATTCCTTCACCTTGGGGTGACTCCTTGACACAGCCGGGGGCCTGTGCGCTCCCTCCCCCGATCCCACAGAGGACTCCCTGGGGGTGCTAACCCCCAAGTATGATCCTATACCTGCAGTCTTATCTGCTCTGACCCAGACACCCGGCCAAAGGGTCACTGACTACAGTAACGCTCTGTTACGGAGTATCAGATACAGGGATTAGGGGGCATTTGGTTATAATGATAACAAGAATCTGCGTCACCAAACAATAAAGTGCATTAATAATCATATTATTTTAATAATAAACGATTACCATATTGTTATGAAAATGACAATTCTTAAAGTGTCAAACATAACAACTTAGAGTGACAGCATCACTATGCTGCTCTGTAATATTATTGCATTAACCCAATATTTCTGACAGGACCTTATACAGGCCTCACTATGCAGTGTAGCGCATGTCCCTGGTTGCCAGGTTGGTGAACAGAGACTGGGAGGGAAGGGAAATTAGCATACAGGGTGGGTATACTCTGTGTCCTCGGCTGCCAGATTGCAGGACAGAGACCGAGAGTGCAGATTCATTTAAAGCACCCCATCTCCACCCCCCCCCCCCCCTGACTTGCAAAGTGTGTGATAATTTATTTGATTTTGCTAGATTCCACTTCAGTGATTTATTTATAATCAGAGCGTGTTTAAAATGATACAGTCCACAATTACACTTCTCTTTCAGGCAGATTACATGAATATTCACAGAATTATTTATCCTATCTTCTGCTTATAACTACCAGAGGTGGAGATTTCCGGTCCAGAGAGTACAAATCTAGACCAAAATCTAGATTTTGTTTCAACCAACCAGTTGAGTTTAAAGAGTCACAGTCACAGAGTACTCAACTGGTTGGTTGAAACAAAATCTTAATCTGGATTTGTACTCTCTGGACCTGAAATCCTCGCCTCTGATAACTACCACTAATATTCCAACTATTAGTAATTAAAGCAGTAAATCTCTACTCGTGTGCTATTTTTGTATGTGGTATTCGTGTTATTTTCACAGTACTGGTGACTTCCTGTCGAATGCGTGACAGAAAATCATAGACGATCGAACACAAACCACAAACACACACAGACACGTGACGGGTCTTACTTCCTGGGTGGCGGCCGCCAGCTGCCCCTCCAGAGTAGTCACCCTCTCTAGCGCCACCCGCAGTCTCTCACGCACCTGACGGGAGGAACATGATCAGAGGAGTGTAACACACACAGCTGTAACGTGGAGCCGGCCTGGTTTGCGAAGTTGCTACCTGATATCACATACTCCAGGTATTATTGCTCCTATAATTACTCTGCATATGAGATCTACTCCCAAAACCGAAAGGGTCTTCGGCCTCGAGATAAAAACACGTGGCTTAAAAATGTGAGCAGAGTTTCAGTATGAAAATATCCCTGCGTGACGGTGAGCCAGATGCGTAACGTGACTCCTGATGCTCGTGGTATGGAGTGAGGCCTCTGTGCACGTAAATATGCGAGTTTAAACACCTCTGCACAGGTGCCGGATGCCACCTTCTGAAGGGAGGGGACGATTTTAGCGAATCGTTAACATTGATTCACGATGGGTGCAGCATGGGGAGAGCAGAGCAGGTGGCGCCGTGGTCAAACAGACGGGCCTGTCATTCCAAAGTCCCCCAGTTCTGGGAGGATCACGTTGTTATAGACTGACCGAGGTAGCAAACCACTTTGTATAAAGGAGTAACGGTGCCAGTCGCTCTGGATAACAGCGTCGACTAAGCAGCGAAAACAGGCTTCAGGGGAGGTCCAGCCATGGATGGGGGGGGG